ATAATTATAATACTTGTATCTATAGTTCTTTTTCCAATTTTGTCACTTTTTCCTAGTATATATTAATTTCTCAATGTTCATTCTGCAGATCCACTGATGATGACATAAAATCCGATGTCGAAACGTTTGTAAAAATTAAAAATTAACTTCTAAATCTTTGCCTTTTATTTGATGTATTGCCCTTAAAAAACTTACTCAGATTTCTCAACATCAAAATTAATTTCTTTAACACACACACATATATATATATATATATATATATATATATATATATTATATTATAAATTATAAATTAATTTCTACTTACAGCCTACGGATGATACTACAGCAACAAATAACACCAGCAATAACACTGCGCTAAACCAGCGCATTCTTTTTTTATATTTTCCCTAAACCTCACAATTTGTGTCTCAATAAACTTGCTTTGATAACCAGATTTGAAAATCTGATCATTCTTGATCTATCTTATATACGTGAATTGATATTTATTGTTTATTTTGATAATGTCTCTATATTAATAATAAAATTCATTTTGCATAATGTTGCATGACAATTATCATTGTCTTATCTAATATTAATAACATAAATCATATAATTTGAGTTAGTCATTTGTGTAATCATCGTACATCTCATCGCAATAGAATTTGCGACTTTTACAAATATAACAAATTTAAACAAGAATTTATGTGCGCCAATCTTGATTAAATTTGGATGATGAAAACTTCTTAAAAGATACAATATTACTGAAGGTGTAGAAATAATAAGCAGGCTTAATTACAATGAAAAATGTTGGTTTGTTTATTTTTATAGATTCTTTAAAAAAATTTACCAAAGGGTTTACTATGAATAATACATTTAGACGCCTGGCGGAATGTTTATTAAAAAGTCAATTAACTTCACTACACACGGTACAATTTAATATACATACAATGCTATATCAGACCTGATATGAAACAACTGATTAGAAAATAAGTAAATAGTTTAGTATATAATTTATGTTTTCAGTTGGTGTAAATAGTTCAAGCAATGCGTATCTAATTATCTAAAGCAAATTTATTTGATTCCATGTAGGTAGAAAAGGTTAGATATAAAATTTGTAAAGAAGATAAACAATACAAATAAGTTTATTATATATTTACTGCATTTCATTTATTTATGCAATGTGTAACATTTTATTTCTGACAAAATAATCTACAAGTTTTAATATAATAATAATTTGATTGTTAATTGATTGATTAGCCATAATTTCATTATTACGGGGGTAAAATTTTCTGGTAGACCTTCTGTTCATTAGTGCAGTAACAACGATCTAGGTCATCGCAATTTCCTGATGTAAAATTTCCAGTTGATACGCAATATCTATGGCAAATTAGGCTTCCTTCCCAATCAGTTCCACCATGGGTTGGTGTACATTTTATGGGTGCTAGGAGACGTTTTGCTGACTCAGATACTGCCAAATCTAGAATCAGTTTATTATTAGTTGGTGGTTAATATACGTTTATGATTTACTTGGCATTCACAATTTCAAACCTTAGAGATATCAAACATTGCAATTGTTTCTAAAAAAAAACAATTCGGATCTTTTAGTAACGAGAGCCGATAATGGTAATGTTACAGTTATTGTAGATAAATATCACAGATCTAGAGAGTCTCAAATCTAGTATCTGATCCTTCAATCTTCTATCTGATCTTATACTCCAATTATTTCCAACCTGAGAGAACACATAAACTAATCTTTCCACAAACTAATTAACAGGATAATCTAGTGTCCTCTTTGAAACAATTACATTCTTACAATCCCAAACTGTATGGCTTGCAATGCTCATAAGGCTCAGGAATTCGCAGAGAAAATTCGTATCTACAAGGAGTACGAACAAATCCCTGACGAAAGGCCATCTGCGAGATGACTTTGTTATTGACAGGTGAGGCAACATTGTGGTTGAAGGGTGTGGAATCGGAAGTTCACACCTGGACGGACGTTATCACCAATCTGCAGGAATAGTTCGCACCCGCACGCCCGGACTACATAATTTTTTCGGAATTATTCGAACGCCAGAAGGAAAAGAGACAGTAGACAAATTCATGGCACATAAGCGAGCATTGTTTGCGGAATTATCAACGAAGGCAATGGAAAGGACACAAATAGATATGATCTACAGTCTCTTAACAATAAAACTAAGAAAATCACATAACATAAAACCAAGAATTGCTGCCAAGGTGTCGAACGGTGCAGCAGAACATACAGGAAGCCACATCGTTGCAAGAAACCAAAAAATGTTCACATTGCAGAAAACTCGGACACGAAAAGGAACACTGCAAAAAACTTGTGCAATAACCCCTGCCTCAGAGAAAGCCGCTAATTGAAAATCAGCTTATTTGCTATGGCTGTGGAGAAAAGGTTTTGTGCGAAGTAAGTATCCAATATGTAACAGATATGCAGATCCAAAAATTGAGGGTTCCCCGTTAGCTTTTTTTGCGTTGGGTGCAAAAACAGATGTTGCAATGACTAAATTTAGGTGCACAAACTGGATAAACCACAACAGAAAACCGACATTTGTGGATGCATCATCATGCAGACATAGGATTACCTAACACAGGTATCTGTTTACGCCCCGTAATCCGAATGACTATACAGGGATCCACTGGAGCAGTTTATATAGACACCGGAGCAGGCAGAAGTTTGGCAGGCGCAAAGCCTGTACTTGGTTTTGAAGAAAACAGGCCATCGCTTCAAACCTGTGATTATGCAGGTAACTTTTGCAGATAGTGTTTACAAACAAGAACAAGTGCTAATGACATGCACGATCATACGTGTGGAAAGTCGCGCGGTGCCGGTAGAGTTCGTAATATTACCAAACGCAAAAAATAGTCGAACGCTGCTGGGGGTCGATTTTCTTACGAAGGCCGGCATAATACTAGATATGGCAAACGGTCAATGGTGTTTCAATAATGATATGAACAGAAATTTCAAGTTTTTAAAGGAAGACCAGGTAACCGCACAAGTTAATATGGTCTTGGTCGAACCAACACCGGAAGAATTAGACGATCAGAATAAATATGATCCGGCATTTATTGAAGAGTTGTTAAGAGATTCTCTGCCGTTAAATTATGAATTGGAATGCCCATGTATGCTCACCTAGCAGCGATCGACATGACTATCGAACAACGGGGTGCCTGGAATCAGCTGCTTGACGAGTTCGATGACTTTTTCGCCGAAAATGGAGCAGCTTGTGCGTACGTAGACTAGTAGCCAGCTACTAGTTTGGCTAGATGATGATTGCCACATTAGTTTCGAGATTGTATTAAATTCATAGTTTCTAACACCTACTTTAAATTCAATTCACAGTTCTACTCACAAGTTTTTGGTACACCTATAGGATCTCCTATTTCACCTGCTTTTGCTGAACTCTCTCTACAACACCTCAAAAAAGAAAACGTTTGTAAGTATTCCCATGTTGATTTTTCCCTTTATTACATATATGTTGATGATATCATTACTTGTATTCCTGCAAATAATTTTGATCTCCTTCTTGAAAACTTTTAACTCTTTCCATGAACATGTTACTTTTACTTTTGAAAAGGGACACAATAAATCAATCAGTTTTGCAGACGCCAATATCATTAAAGCTCCATTAAATTAATTGAAACCAATATCAAAAGCCCATGTGGTCTTGCAGATATTTTAATTTTCAATCCAACTACCCAATTAGCATGAAAATTGGTACTAAAATCCTAAGATTTTAATTGTACAAGCTGATTGCACAGGAAAGATTACAATAAGATAAATAGACTTACTTAGTAAATGTTTCCTGGCCTAGTCTCAGGAACTGAAACTTACTCACCTATTAACTCTGACATATTAACAATTTAGTTTCAAACAAATCATGCAAAAAATTCAATCCTTAAAAAATGCCATAGACAACACAGTTGTATCAATCTGTATTATTCTCTACGTAACATAGGATTGCAACAACGTGTATGCAATTCTAGAATTGCAATTCTTTTCTAGAATTTATTATGGTCAAAATTAATTAATTAAACACATTGATCTACTTACCAGCAAAATACGCAAATATTGCCACTAAAAGTATTGCTAAAAATTTCATCTTATGTATATTAACACAATATTACTAATTATATTTTGTAAACTGTTGCTTTTATACTCTGCAAAATACAAATACAACAAAACATATTTTTTATGTATTTAAGTGGCTTTTCAATAAATCACAAATAATAAGCAAGTTTTATAGTTTTTTTTTATGTAATTGTAAATTAATGTAATTAATCTTCAATAATTGGTAATAAAGTAAAAAAGTAAACACTTAAACAAATGTAAACACCGTTTTATGATTCATTGTTCAAGGTGTGGAAAGCTTTTATTTATTGGCAATATTATTCCAAATTAAAAATGACGCATTTAATATAGTTTAAATCAATTTTTTTTAAATATTGAAATTGCGATTAAATTCAAACATTTTCAATAATATTCAAAATATATATTTTAGATAGTATTATATCTTTACCTCTAGAATATCATACTTCAATTAATTTTCCAACAAAATTATTACTACTTATTAATTTGTTATATTTTACTAATTTTGTACTTTATTTCAGCAATATATTCAAATATTCAAGTTCAAATTAAAACATGATAAAAAGATCTTAACATCTGAATATTTTTTATATCGGTGGTAATTTATAATATTCTATTACTTTCTACCATTTTTTTTTCTAAAAATATTAAATATTTTGATTTCGTTTCGACTAATTTTGACAATTTTTATTAAAATGTATTAAAAATATTATCTAATTTCAATATCACAAAATTGAAAAAAAAAATTCATTAATATTATGTTCAATGTTTGTGTATTATATGAGTAATACTTGCATTAAGTATGTTCCTCTTTTGCTTGGTTAAGATTGGTATTAGAATTGTATATTAGATTATAAAAAATGCAAGAACAAACTTTTCAAAATTTATTAAAGTTGGTTATTATATTTTATATAACGCAATAACAAAGTTCTCCATAATCACAATAGCCTCCAGCATAATCTTGTGCAGCACAATATCTTTGGCAATTGCGAGTTGCCTCCCAAATTGGCGCTCCTGGAGGAGCCACACATTGTACTGGTGCTATATAACCACCTGCTGATGCACGGTCTAAAAAAATGACAATATTGTCATTATATATATAAACATGTATTTTTATTTTTTCAATTTACCCCCCCCCCTCCCCCCTTCCTTCTGAAGTTGCCTATGGGGCGTGCGTAGTCCATGATTTTATGCAAATAGTCCAAACATTTTCAAACTGAAAATGAAATTTAGGAATCCATAAAAATTTGTAAAAATCATGGCTCGCAGAGTTTGATAAAAATTTACGGAAATAAAGTTTGAAAGAAAAATGGAAAAAACAATCTTCAAAAAAAATTAAGAAACAATTTTGGAAATTTTTTTTTTTTAATTTAGATACAGGACCATTGTATCATAGAGGAACATGATGAAAAAAAAATAGAAAAAACAATTAGAAAAAAATTCTTGAAAAAATCATGAAAAGTCAATAAGTTTTGGAAAAAATGTCTAGAAATTTTTTTGTAAAAATTTAGGAAAAAATAATTTAAAAAAAAATAGAAAAAATGTTTGGGAAAACATTTTGATTGTGGCCCGAGGCGAGATTCAATAATACTATTTTGGTTTGAAGATTGATCTTACACCATGAAATTCTAAAAAGTATATCTTGAATTTAGGGTTAATATTTTTATTGTATTTCACAAAATTTATTTATTTTAGGTGCAATAACTCAAGAGCAAATTAAAGAGTAAACTTTACTTACCAGCAAACAGCGATAAGAAGACCAATAGCACAAGTAATATAATTTTCATTTTTAACACTTAGTTTTGTTTCTAGATCAAAACTAAATGTTTCAGTCGCTTTATGTTTTTATATAGTGCGAAATGCTCTGACATAATTTGTTTATTATTTAAATATTTGAATAAAGTCACGAATTCTCGAGAAAACTAGTTATATCATAAAATTATTTAAGATGAGTGTGAGTTGTTAAATAACATTGTTTTTTTGTGACTCAATTTAATTTTAGAATTATTTTGTTTTGAATTAGATTCATTTTATCAATTGCAAACGATGTCTTTGAGAGCGAAATTATTTAAAACTTCTGCAGAAAGACTACTTAATTGAGATAAAACCAATAATTAAATCACCAGCATTCATTTTTGGCTAGCAGAGTAAATGAAAAGATGTGGTTTCGTATGCGAAAGTATCCTAAAATGTAATATAAGCAAACTACTAATTCCATCATAAAGCTTGTTGTGAAAGAGAGACTTCTCTTAAGGTAGCAAGACCAAATTAGCATAGTCGCTCCGGACCTGTTGTATTATTAAGTACTCATTTTGTACTAATTTGTACCACAAAAAAATTGTACCACGTGCCGTTTAAAAAAAACGTTGATTGCAATTGCACGGGGGTTCACAGGCTATCTTAATATTGAAGACTAGATAGATCTAAAAATTGTATTCCCAAGTGCTTTATCAGGATCGACGTCGCCCACTTTATAAAAAAATATGCTGTGTTTTTGAAAAACATCAACAAGCACGTCAAAATATTTTATTTACGGGTAATTGGAAAATTGATACTATTTAGAAATATTAAAGATGCTTGTGATATTTTAAAATCGATTTTTACAATTGCGTTGTCTGAGACAGATGGAAATTCAGAAAGCTGAACCGAGAACGCTTGCTATGAACAAAGAACAAAATTATAATTATTTACTAACACTGATTTTGAAAACATTGAAAATTGATCAACAATGCACAGAGGAAAATGTGCTCTTAGATAATGAATGGAGCACTTGGGGTAATCCATCTTTTCGAATGTCAAATTAATAGCTGAGGCTAATTTGGGTAATAGAGTGAATGCATATTACTGTTCTGAATTGGTCGAACGACTGTTAAAAGATGTAAAACTGTTTTTCTCAGAGATGAGATTGATTATGGTCGTGCACCGGCTTCGAGTGCTCCTGTAGAAGGAGAATTTAATGAATTAAAGTCTTAAAATATTAAAAAAATTGCATATGCACATTGATGCTTTTTTGCAGGAGCACGTGAAATATTTTATCGGTACAATTGTGGACGCTAAATTTATCGCCGAACCCATACTAGTCCCAATTGAAGATAACTTTGTGCAATGCAGAAAAAAGGACAAAATGACAAACAAATGCCAAATTTGTCAAAATTATGTTCACCTTAATTCTAAGTGCTCTATTATTCCGAACGACTTTTAAGGCATGTGTAAAGAATCTCATGTGTGTATTGGATGCACAACTACAAAACCAAAATTATGATGGGAAACTTGCATCAACTACACCAAGAAAATTTTTATTAAACCGTATAATAACAATTTATATGAATTAATAGGAATTGTATCATAGTAAAGTGTTAGTAGAAGCGCAATGACCATTGTACTGGAATATGTTTAAGAGGCACCAGCTGGTTATAGTATGATGACTTAAACAAAAAAGAGATAAAAATTAAAAACAACTCCTTCATTAATAATATTTTCAAAAAGCAACAAACTAATTAAAACATATTTTTGAAGTAAATAATTTTTTATTATTTGCTTTATTAATGTATTTTTGACAGATATATTCAGAGCGTCTTATGCTTATGGTGCGTTTACTCGGATTGTATTAGTTTAACTTGATTTTGCTCGTTGAATTTTTTTCAGTATTTTTGAAAATGACTCAACATGGGCGTAGATAAAATTTGGGGTTGATAAATGAGGAAAGGGCAGAGGTACAAAATTTAAAAATCTCTATTTAAAAACTAGATATTATATTGTTTTTAAATAGAAATAAAAAATCTATTCAACGAGTAAAATTTTCTGAAAATTTAAATTTGCCTTCAATGCTCGCCACATATTACTTACATGTTCGTCATTTCAGTAGCATGCTTAGAATCGAAATAGACTTGTCTCAATTTTTATTGATACATCACCTACACTTTGATATATATATGCATATTTATTTTCATAATATCGGAACACATTATCAACCAAAGAAGAAGTACAAAGAACATTGACTTAGTGGTATACAATTTCCATCCCAGCCTCGAACATATCGGTTTTCACATTGGCAAACATTTAGAACACATGGATATTTGCAAACTCTTTGATTTGGATTCAGGCAAGTCCTTTCGCAAGCAGTACCACACCTGTAAAACCTTTCACGTGGTGGACTCATATAATAAACTAGTAAAAAACGTATTATATTATATTTTTTATGTTAATTTTATAAAAAATTAGTTCTCTTAAAAAAACTTAAAATGGATATTCACTTAATTTTCAAGATTTATATTACTTACGTATTGCTGCTGTTACATGAAACAGAGCAAAAACAAAAATTATTACTATCGGAGACCACTTCATTTTTTAACTAATTTCTTCCAACTGTCGATAATGAAGTACTAATGCATTTATATAAGAGACATGATTTTAATAATAAAAGTAATTAAATAATAAATGAATGTCGTGTGACCTTGTTTACTTACCTTGATTTTATAATTGTTGTGTTTTTCAGATAAATCTAAAATTTGCTGTTACATTAATAAATCCTACAGAATTGTGATTGATTATGGGATTGATGATTGCGGAATTTTTATTCAACTGTTACACATAAAGAAGAATCACAATATTAGCAAAAGAGCTGGAATACATGCGCAGAATCCTACAGTTTATAGAAGTATTAAGAACTTAATGTACAAAATTTTATATATGAAGTGATAAATGGAGATAAAACTTAAGTAAAGTGTGCCAGGGTGAATAGTTAGCTACTGATTGAAGAGCCTTAAATTCAAGATTCAAGAAATTTTTGTTTGATGGTAGTTCTAGTAGGCAGAATTGTAAAAGACACTGACACAAACACTAATTTAATTACTTGCTGCGTTACAGAAGAGATGCCAGCAAGCACCATGCATTTGGTGGCATCAAGTTGAAGTCCATCCGAGCTCTAAATATTTAAAGCAACGTCAAAAATATTCTCGATGAAAAAGCAATTCATTAAATGCTATTGCTGATGATGCCAATGATGCCATTGCCGAGATGGTGTTTTGGAAGGTTGTGGGAACTTAAATTCATACCTAGATAGATCTGCTAAATTTTGTAGGAGCCATTGGCTTTCACACGTCCTGGCCATTTATTGTATGCAGAGGCTATTTGGGCGTCAAAAAGGGAGACAATTCAGCTACCGACAAAAATCGCCGAATAATCCCAAATCAGTATGATCTATTGCCTCTTATCGCTAAAGTTGAACAAAGGCATGAGTATGTAAAGCTTAAGTAAATTATTGAAAACATGTGGTAATTTTACCAATTTATTGAAACATCCTAAAAGTTGCTATACAAATACTTTATTTAAGAAAAACAAATCCGCAGTTAATCCTAGCACTTCAACATAGAATTATTAATTATTAATAGGTAATTACCAGGTAATTATTTTGTATTCAAGTTTAATTTAATACATTTACTTCTTGCCATAAATATGTTAAAGTTATTGGTATCAAAATAATTATTGTTATGGAATTTAGTATAGATTGTGTTTATTGATATTTTAAAATATATAATTTTAATGTAATAGTCATTATTTTCGAGTTAAAATTTATAAATTATTCCTAATTTAAAATTATTGTTTTAGGCATGAAGTACCCGTCAAAAATTTGAGAAATATTTCGATATGCTGAGGAGCCGATTATACATGCACTCATATCTTCTGATTATGCAATTGCTGATGAGGCAAGTTCTGCTCCTACCATCATACATTTTGAACAAAGAAGTATATTTAGAAAATATTTAGAAAAAAGTGTTATAGCTAATGGCAATCTCAGAATTGCTAAATGTGAGTCTTTAAAGTTTATATTAGATGTAAAAACAAGGTGAAATTTATTGGCTCAGGCTAGAAAAGGTTGTTGTGATTCAAATGCCTCAGATATTGTAACAATGGCTAAAATAAAAATAATTAGAATATTATCTAATATACTACTGTCTCTAAAACACATGTTGCCCAAGTCAAGTATAAAGTTGAAAAAATAATATTAATTGACGCTGCGAATAGATGATTTTCTAATCTAGAGGATAATTTGTGAATGGCTATAGCTAGCTATATTGTTAGTTCCACAAGAATACAAAAGCTACCTCAAATCTAAAATGCAATAAGTGAATTGAGAAATGAAATTTAATTGGGCATCACAATCGTCAGTTTAGATTGATATCATACTAAATAGTTCCAACTTTTGGCAGTTACACAAAAATTTAGCGTTCGACAAAAAAAAAAATAGCAAGATAAAGTAGATTTGTACTGGAATAATCAAGTAACGCTATTAGATAACAACTTCATTGAATCTTGAAAAGATATGAAGGAATTTTTACTTCAGTACCATATAAAATATTATTTTCTAAAGATAATACTATAATGACTAAAAGACGTAACAAGGTAAAACCTGAACATATTATATGTTTGCATTTTTAGCAGGACAATCGGATGGTGAATGGTTTAATTAAATGTTATTCAATATTTATATTGTTTTCTATTTGAGATCAGATTGTCATTTTCAACGTATTTAGGTATATAAATTATTTTAAAGAGGTACCAATTTCATCTTGTTTTTTCATATTTATATAAAAATTATCGTTATATTATCTATTTATTTTTAATTACTTTGTAAATATATATTATGATTATTTTAATTATATTATCTTAAAAAAGTATCATATTGTTTTATTTATTAATGTAAATTATACCCTATATTTTTTCAGGATAAATAACTTTTATATCTTACCTAAAACTGATAGAAACTTTCAACCGAAAAACTAAACTGCAAAAACTACGTTGGTACTATCACTTCGTCTTGTATAACAGATTACTCGAGGAGAAAACATTTCATTCAGCTTTTCGTTAAAGCAGCTTGTACTCCTCAAAATGTTTTTTTAAATCCTAATTACTAAATTAAAATCATAATTTGACCCGAAGCAATTAAGCAACCTAATTCATAAAATAAACTGTGTCAATTGTGATTGTGTTTATACGGGTGAAACTTGCAAAATTCTACCCAAACGAATATCACATCATAAAACAATTTAAAAAAAAAAAGCAAAACAAAACTATGCTTACGGAGTACATTAAGTATCATTATCTTAACATGGTTTTTCATAACTTAAGCGTGGGTTTTCTTAACCCCACGATTTTACATTTTGAAACAATATTTTTCAAAAAAAGATTCAAGAATCCAAATGTGCAGTTAAGCCATAAATAAACAAAATGATATTTATTTACCAGTTCTTAAACACTAAAATGCATTAGGTAACAATTTTATTACTTTTTCAAAACATATTTTTTCACTAGATTATATAATATTCAAAAAATTTTAGTAAGCACAATTCATTTTTTGAACCATAGTTACTCTTGTGGGATGTAGTTACAGTTAATAATATATTCATACACATTGTATATGTATGTATGTAAGACCTAAAACTGTATGTACCTATAATTTTTTTAATTTAATTTCATATCTTTTGGTTTGCTCCGCTTAATGAAAACGTATAGATAAGCAAAGCTCCAGTGTATAATTTTCATAGTTATTTTTACTTGGTGCTATTTTTCATAACATATATATTAAACACACACACACACACACACACACACATATATATATATATATATATATATATATATATAATCAAATTGATATCCTTTAATTTTTTTAAATCTCTTTATATTTCTTAAACAAATAACAAAAGGAATATGACGTATTCTACAAGCTAATATGATACAATTTATTACATATAAGATATTATTCTAAAAAACTATATTTATTGTCTTTCCAAAAATTATGAGACACTACATATATATTATGAAATTAGAGAGTTTGATAGTTTTTGAGTAATCTATCGTGTGTGATCGATAGTTTTAGCTCGGAAATACAATCCAATCAGAATTATTACAGAATCAGGTTTCTTTTATATCTTCCGCTGGTATTAGATTTCAATGGTGCTGCTACATACATCAATAATTTATATAAATTTATAACAGATAAATTTTATTCTATTTCAATATTAACATCAACCAGAATAGTTGTATGTGTACAAAGTACTGCCGGAGACCATAGAACATTGGCTTAGTGGTACACATGTTCCATCCCAGCCTCGAACATATCGGTTGTCACATTGGCAAACATTTGGGACACATTGATATGTGCAAATACGTGGACTTGGATTCTGGCAAGTTCTTTCGCAAGCAGTACCACATCGGTAATACATCTCACCTGGAGGACACAAACCTAAACCTAAAGCTTGGGAATAAAAAAAATATAATTGATATTTCATAAGCTATCATGTCTTGAACTTAAAAAGACGTTTGAAATATAATACGTGCTTATACATTGCTTATAGAGAAATAAGCAAAATGTATTATCTAAACAAGATTTTCTGTGTGTTCTTTCAGGAATAAATGCATTATTCAATGGTTTAGTAATAATTGTTCATTTATCAATGAAATTTATCAATTGCAAGCAGCAAGTTTTCAAACAATAAAATGAACAAAAAGTAGATATATGCTTTTGCTATTTTTAACGTCATTGAGTACTACTCACTTAAAAATCTGTAAATGAATAATTTGGAATGATGATTTCCACTAATATTATTTTTCTTTTGATTAATTAATTACTTTATGCGTTAAATGAAAATTTATTGATGCCTTATCGCAAATTTCAAAAAAAAAAACAAAAGGGTCGAAGGGACTTAGAGGTCCGCAAATACAAAGGTCCACAAACGATATCTCAGGGGCAAGTAAAGTTAGGATTTTTTTTAACAACAAAGACATTGGATCAGTTTGCCCCCTGACTGCACTATTTTATCCCGTCTATGGCGTAAAAAGAATCAATTGACAAATTTTTGAAAAATAGCAAAAAAAAACATTTATATCATGATGGTGAACTAGGAGTTTTGCTGAACATAGTAATATAGTTGTTCGTTTTTTAATTTATTTGTAGTAGTGCAATTGCTTTTAACTGTCAAAAGTTAAAATGGACCTTTTTGCCCAGCCCTACCCTATAGTGAATTCAAACAAAAATTCAAAAGTCAAAAATGTTTAATGTTACGAAAACTTATAACAAAAAAAAAACAAAAATATTTACTATTTTTATTTCAGGCCAAAATTTGAAACACTAATGGCTTGAATTTTAAGAGCACACAAATCTTTATGAAAAATGCAAAGCAACTATTCCTTGAAATAATTTAAATTTAAACTAAATTTTTGTATAACCACCAATTGTTTTTGAATTTTTTTTTTAACTTGTGAGATATCCAACTGACCGAAAATACGATAAACCGCTTGAATCTATTTTATTTTTTGCCCCAATAATACTCTATTTTCTAAAAAGCATTTATTGAATCTAAGAATTAAATATTATTAAGAAATAATAAATTTACTAAATAAATATTAATTACTCAGTTTTAATAAGAAATAATGAAATAAATTTGTTGATAAAAACATAAACGGCTTTTCACTTAGTATTTACAAATAATATTACATACTTGCTGCTGATGTTAAATCAAACAGAACAAAAATGAATACCATTAATATCGACAACCACTTCATTCTAAGCTAATGTCTTTATAATACTGGCGATATTATAGTATTTACTAATGTATTTATTTAGACATGAGAATTGTTAAAAAAGTAATTAAAAATGAATGACGTGCGACTCTGTCACCTTGATTTTATAATTGATGTTTTTTCAGATATATAAATGTAAAATTTACAGTTATTGTTAAATCACATTAAATTGTGATTAAATATGGTTATGGGATTTTTACTCTACTGTTATAAAGAATCAAAACATTAACAGAAGAGCTGGAAGAATCTTACAGTTTTCGTATATATTAAAAATTAAATTTGCAAAATGATAATTGCATTAATTTTTCAATGCATACAGTAACGTCGGATTGAAGTGTTCATTGATAAATATATTGCTTATTATTTAATAACTGATTATAAAGTATAAATTTTAAATTATTTACAAAAACAGTTTTTAGTTCTTTTAATATTTTATTGATTTTGATTTACCTTATTTAAATTTTCATCACATAATACTTAACGCCGAATTTAGGAATGAAAGATGACTCAATGGCAATATATGAAATTGATGTTTATTATATTATTCATTTAAAATTCTCATATGAATGACATAATTAGCTACATTGTGAATAGTACATTTTTTTAATTTTTTGAGCTCTCAATTTATATGATTTGAATACATAATTAATTGCATAAAATACTCATGAAAGTACCACCGTGCAAATAATTTGTTAACGTGCAAATTTATTTCATTATGTGCAAATTTATTTCATTATTATGTTTCAAAAATTTTCCGATCGTTTATTATACCGTAAATATATTTATAAATAATAACATTATTAGTACGAATGATGACATCAATTTTTTCAAGGTAAATCTTAATTAGGTATTTAAAAAGTACTTTGCTTTAATCTAATCTGCTGACGTATTTTAATTTGGATCTTATACTCGTAGTATATAAATACAGTAAAATATCAAACAATAGTCTAATTATTAAACCAGAACAACTAGAGATCAAAATAATTCTAATATCAATTTATTCATTATATTAATTTAATCTGGATATAATTATTTATATATTAATAAATATTAATTTAATAACTATTAATTTAATCTGAAAATTTAAAGAAACATAAACTGTATTAGAGTTACTTGAGAATGAACTGAAACGCAAAGAATTATACGATATTTCAAAAAATATTATGACAAATATACAGAATTGCTAATAAATGTATTTAAATTCCAGCTTGTAAATTACTAGTGAAATTAGATATTTTCAAAATACCACATTGAATGAATGAATGAGCGCGTAATATTTCGATCATATTTCACCTTTTAATTGCAAGGTTTTAAACTTGTAGACATCGCTTTACAACTTTGATTAAAAATTTAGAAGTTAGAATACAGAATTTAGATTTGAACAAATTATATGAATTTACATACTAAAATATTAAACAAGTTTGCAAAATGAGAAACACCAAATAAAAAATATAAAAAACCTTAATATTGGTCCTTTTGATTGAATTGGTGTAGAAGTCTGTTGTGAGTTAGTATTTAATGAAGAATAAATGTAAAAATAAAACTAGCAATAGTATACGTATCTGTAAAACATTAATTATTTTTAGCGCAGTGGATGGAAGATAATTCATTTAAAACTTTTAATCATGATATTTAGTTTTTTTTTATTAATATTGTGGGAGTAGTAATGATTATGATAATATATTTAATTAGAAACTCCCAACATAATAAAAAAAATATAAATTTATTAACTATAAAAATATTTCGATATCAAAAATATACATGACATGTCCCATTGTTTTTTACAAATAAAAACCAGCCTGCTTGATATCGCCACACACTCCCTGCCCAGTGTTGATCTCACAGTTTAAAAAAAAAAAAAACAGGGAAACACGTTATAAAAATGTGGTGGGAAAGCAGATTATAGCAGACCAGTGTTGTAATACTGGTCAATTACAAATTTCCATGTTTCGTCAGCAGATCCACCGTATGTGGTGATTTGACCTGCCATCAACTCCATATTCTGCATAATGTTCTCGATCTAATGGGTATTAGTTATAACAGAATAACTTAATGTTTAGAATGCATAATTTATGGGTACAGTTTCCATTTCTGCAAGCGTTGCATTCGTATCTGATGAGTTCCGATCAGAGAAAGAAGTTGGCTCTTTATCCAAATCAGGATCATTGGTTTCTTTGACATAAGAGTCCAGAATTGTGGAATCCAATAAATTATGTCAAATTTTGTTTTGATCCGTCGTTGTCACCGATAATGGGAGGTAGCATTATAAGACGATTTGTTGAGTTAACAGAGAAAGAGAGGTTGAATTGCATTTCAATGAAAAGTTCAGGCTCCAAATTATTTTTTCTGTCAGCAATAAACACTGAGGTCTGGGTATACCAAATGAGTAACCTCGGAAGTCTGATCCAGATAGTAAGTGCGTTAACTATGATGGATTGGACTGGACATACCTTATAGGTCGTCACTGAAGACCAGTGATTATGGTGCTGCGTCAAAATCAATTTTTCTTAAATCTTCGAAAAATAAAACTCCTTTATCTTCATCTCCATCGTCGTGAGTCACCAATGTGGGAGTAGTAATGGTTATGATAATATATTTAATTAGAAACTCCCAACATAATAAAAAAAATATAAATTTATTAACTATAAAAATATTTCGATATCAAAAATATACATGACATGTCCCATTGTTTTTTACAAATAAAAACCAGCCTGCTTGATATCGCCACAATATGTATTTAGTAATGTCGATAGCTCTTACTAGCTTTATTAATTTGTTATAGCTGCTCATAATTTAATTTTCTGTGATTTTCAAGACTAACTCATTTATAGAGTTCTGAAATTAATTTGAAAATAATATAATTTTAGGGTATGAGTCGACGTTGCTAAATTTATCAAATACGACCATTTTAACTGTCCACCTGTTTACCTGTCCACTAGGTTACCTGTCCATCCGTTTCTTGTTCACCAGTTTACCTGTTCACTCGTTCACCTGTCCACAAATATTTTTTTTTTATTTTTTTTTTATTTTTTTTTTTATTCAACAATATATTTACAACTGTCCTACATAGACATTAAGTAAATCTTTTGGCAATTATATGTAAAAATGACATCGATATATAAATAGTGAAAAATACACAGTTGCATTTTTCCTTTATAGGAATTAATAGTGTGACACGAGTAATTACAATCTAATTAAATCACTAAATATTTTTCTTTTAAGTCTTCGTGTTGTGTTTGTGGATAGCAGTGCGTTGGCCAACTCATTTGGGTGTTCTTCCAGTCTGTCTTTGTGGTTAACAGCGAATCTTTTAACTTCCTCGGCTACAGTGCGCATATGTGTGTCATCATGGATCAGCCAGGTGGGAGTATATTTTGGGGCGCCTAAAACAATCCTAAGAACTTTGTTCTGAAACCTTTGAATGATGTTAGCATTACTTTTAGATGTAGTACCCCAAAGTGCTATGCCATATGTCCAAATCGGCTTAAGTACAACTTTGTATACTAGTATTTTGTTGTGTACAGAAAGATGGGATCTCCTACCCATTAACCAGTATAGTTCTCGTAACTTTTCCTCAAGCTGTTGTCTTTTCTTTTTTATGTGAATTTTCCAATTTAGTTTGCGGTCTAAATGCATGCCCAGATACTTTACGTGTTCCACCTGAGGGACTTCTATTTCATTCACAGTTACAGTTGGACATGTCTCGTGTTTGAATGTAAAAGTGATGTGGGATGATTTCTGGCTGTTGATCTCTAGCCTCCACAGTTTGTACCATTTTTCTATTGATGTTAAGTGACTTTGAAGTTGCTCTGAAGCAGTTGTGGGATTTTCATGTTTTGAAAGAATGCAAATATCGTCAGCAAATGAGGCTATGTCTGTGTCAAGTGAGGTGGGAATGTCAGCTGTAAAAATTAAGAACAAAATTGGGCCGAGAACACTGCCTTGAGGAACGCCTGATTTTATTATTTTAATAGGTGAGTTCATGTTGATAATGTTTACGTAGAAACTTCGGTTTGATAAGTATGATTTAATTAATAGAAATAGGTCATTGGGTAAAGTATTTTTTATTTTATAAAGAAGTCCTGTATGCCAAACTTTGTCAAATGCTTGTGTGGTATCTAAGAACAGAGCTGAGCAATATTTCTTTTCTTGTAGAGTTTCGTTAATCTTATGCACCAATCTATGGGTTTGTTCAATCGTTGAATGCATCTTTCTAAAACCGAACTGTCCACAAATATACCTGTCAACCTGTTTATCAGTCTATCAATAAATAATTTACTTGTCTATCAATTTACCTGTCTACCAACTTACCTATCAATCTGTTTATCAATCCACCATTTTACCTGCCTACCAATTTACCTGTCAACCAATTTACCTGTCAACCAATTTACCTGTCAACCAATTTACCTCTTTACCAATTTATCTGTGATCCTATTTTACATGTCTACCAATTTAAGTGCAATTTCGTTTTACTTGTCTACCAATTAAACCCGTCGGTCTGTTCATCAATCTACATATTTGTCTATCTACCATTTTACATATCCTCCAGCTTATCTGTTTACCAGTTTACTTATCTACCGTTTTGTCTGTACTACTTATATATTTATATATTTATCCCTTTTGTAGTGGATGTCATCAAAAATACCAGTAATAAACATCATGCCAAAATTAACTATCATCCTAATGCTACAATGTCTCATCTGCTTGTTAATCCGTCTATAAGAAGACTACACAAGAAACTGCCTATAGACTTATTGCAAAATAATTGTTTTTCATAGTCAATTGCTTATTGGAGCAATTACAACAATTTGTTTTTTCTTCATTTTTATTTTTTATTTATTTGTAATTCATTTTTGTTTATTTATTTATGATTATTTTTTCTTCTTTTTTCTTTTTTATTTCTTTCTGTGATTATTATTATTATTATTATTATTATTATTATTTTATTATGTGTAATTTAGCCATATAACTCATAGGGGCTGTGTAATTGTTATGCATTCATAAACCATACGTCCAATATCCGTGAAAATTTGGGAAATTGTTAAGTAAATTCCCTCTTAAAGAGTAGGTAGGTATTACTTTGGAACTTATTGTTAGTCCAATATATAAATAGCAATATGTTTCCAAGTGAAAATAGCCCTCACCCGGTATTGTTGCACCATATACTTGCCCTATTACAGAGATTGTAATAAAAAATTTATCATACAGAGATGTGACAACTGTTTGGGTTGCCATCTGTAATAAAACAAACGTAGTTTGTAAGATATTGATCACAACAGCTCATAGAACCCGTAAGTTCTGATCGCTGTTCAAATAAAAATTAAAAAAAAAAAAAAATAGTTAGTCCAATACAACTGTGAGCAACATATAAATAGACAATATACTTTTTACTTTTTACTTTTTACTAATACTGTTAGTGTTCCATATTTTTTTTAATTTATACTAAATTCGGAATGGCGCTCTTAAGATGTTAAAATAAATTTTTCGTGTTAATAATTTATTTAATCACGACTTATATTTATAGACTTAATATGATATGAACTTTATATGAATACATTTGAAATAGTTTTGCGGTTAAGAAACTCAAATTTTCTTATTGTTACACTAAATGGTTTGTAGGGTATCACACAATAACCGATAAACACATATGGTATATAAATTATACAACTCATTATTTAAAATAAAGATGTTATGGCATTTTTAATCAAAGCATGGGAATGTGCAATCGCATTCCTCGACGCAAGCACCATCCCAACGTCGAACGTATCCTGGCAAACATCGGCAAACGTTTAGGATGCACTGCCTCGTGCAAGGACGTGGTTCCGGATCCTCGCACGTTAGCTCGCATGCAGTTCCGCACTCCCAAAATCGTTCGTTTTCATGACATTTTGCTGAGGAATGAATAAATATTGACATATAATAAAATATTCTATTGATAATAGTGATAAGTAGCGTAGTCAAAAAGGTGTAATTTTGAGAACCCAGTACATACTTTGAGATTTGGTTTTCCAAATCTATCTTACAATTCATAGTCAGAATTAATATATATATATATATATATATATATATATATATATATATGCTATAGTTATAGTTAATATGTGCTATAATTATAGATTATATTCTTTATTCTATCTGAACAGCAATCAGAATTACAGCAATCAGAAAGCCAATGTTATAGCAAGACCATGTTATGAAAAACTTTTCATACAAAATATTGTCAAAAGCCATGTTGTTGCTATGCAGTCAAGCGTTTTTTTCAGGTTGTCAGATAGAAAATCTAACTTAGAAACAGCACAAATGTCAAAAAAAACTATCTTAGATAACAGAGTCTTTCTGATCCTGCTTCATAACATACAAGTGACGTTGCAGTTTATGTGTCAAACGCCTGAAAGCACAGCAAATACATTTTGACAGTACTCAGTATGATTCAGTGACATAATGTATGGAAGTTGGAGCGTAACATGGTCTTGCTATAATATTGGTCTGTTGTGCGGTAGAATCGCCCCATTATCCTAGATGTAATTTTTTCAAAGGGCAACCGAATGGTTTTACTCATAGTTTTGTAAATTACTAAAACCATATATGCATAACTGTATATAATTTATATACAGTTATGCCCAGAAAATGTGAATTTTACTTGAGATGTATAGGTAAATTTATATTTATATTCTATTTCTTATCGCTGTTTTATAAAGAACAACTCAATGATATATTTTAATACTAGCCGACCCGACAGACTTCGTCCTGTCAAAAAAATTTGTAATGTGGCGGTGTTTTGTTCCTACCCTGCAAAAAATTATCCTGAACAGAACCGTCACTCTGGTAATAATTCGGTGTGAATTAAAAATAATTAAACAAAACACTATAAGCATTTAAAAGTGTGAGTAGTTTTAACCTTGTAAATCATAATTCAAAAATCAGTTCAATTTTCATTGTAGTGCTTTGTGATAAACGATGTTTTCTGTTTGATTACCTGACGCATAGACAAAGAAATCTGATAGATTTTCTAATATGGGAACAGACAACAAACAATTAACCATGTGAGAAGCATGGGTTTTCCGAATTAATACCACAAATACTTAATGATACCATAAACGCACTGGAAACTTTAGTCGTTTAAACTCAAATGGCACATCAGTCGGAATCATTGGGATGCATTGTGCGAGAACATCTTCTGCTTTATACTATCCTTTCAATATAGTTGCTTCCATCACGTTGTTTGGTAGTTTTTTTTATCGCTAACCTTGTGCCGTTGCAAAGGCGCAGTTGATCGATATTTCGCGATATTATAATTGCCGATCCAACCTTTAATTGAAGATTGTGAGGTGACAATCCTGGCAAATCCAGCGAGCTTAAAAATTCCGGTGGATGGTTAAATACATCGTCTTGGTTACTTGACGAATCAACTGATTCGCCTGTAATTTGTTCTTGAATTTTGAAATTTAATTCATTTACATCAATATTTTTGGATGCAAATATAGCTCGTTAATTAAGAGAAAGATATTTCTATGTTTATATAAATATATTAAAAATTAGATTATCAAAAACTACACAAAATGTCATGACATAAATTATTGTTTTTTCTATAAATTTTGTTGCCTACTTGATTCCCACATCTACTGTAAACGTTTGTATGAGAAAAAGAAAAGGGCTGTTTTTAGGGTTTTCCCGGCAATTATTCGTTTTTTTCTCGCCGTAACAACCATCCTTGGACTTCAACGAACATTTTAAAAAAAGAATTTTCCAAATTGGTCCAGGCGTTGTTGAGTTATGCGCTTACCAACACATTTTGCGATCCATTTTTATATATAAGATTAAAAATTAGATTATCAAAAATTACACAAAATGTCATGACATAAATTATTGTTTTTTCTATAAATTTTGTTGCCTACTTGATTCCCACATCTACTGTAAACGTTTGTATGAGAAAAAGAAAAGGGCTGTTTTTAGGGTTTTCCCGGCAATTATTAGTTTTTTTCTCGCCGTAACAACCATCCTTGGACTTCAACGAACATTTTAAAAAAAGAATTTTCCAAATTGGTCCAGGCGTTGTTGAGTTATGCGCTTACCAACACATTTTGCGATCCATTTTTATATATAAGATAAATTCATTATGACATAGCGATTTATTGAACCTGTTTATTAGTAAAGTTCTAACAATATATTCCGAACATTAAATTTTTTGAAATAGGAAAACAACACAATGAAAAATTGTAAACCAATCAATCTTTTATGCAATATAATAAAAATATTGCAATTAAAAAAAGAAACTTGATATTTGTAAGAAGTTTTCAGTGTTGTCATATAACATTTATGAAAATTAAAAAAAAATGTTTTAGAATAATTTAATATAGGATAATATAAAGCAAAATTATTATATATTTAAATTACCTTTGAACAGTTAGCTTTAAATAGTTGTGTAAACGAGTGTACCGGCGTTTTTTTAATGCAGCCATAAATATATACATATATAATTTTTTAAAGAACACTTACAATTAGATGATTTATGAAAGGTTTATAAATAATTAGGTTTTTTTTTTACAAACGAATCTTTACTTTATGGATATTTACCACTAGTTTATATTGTTAGCAAAAGTGTTTGGTTTTCAATAGCTTCTAACTAATTTTATCCCATTGATTAAATTAATAACAATATTAAACCAATTTTTAGATTAGGCGATTTATATTATTTTATCAACAATGTTTTACACCCAATCTTGCTCGATCGTCTTCACACAAATTAATTAAATTAACAGTGTAAATTATTATAACATGCTTTAGTATAAAAAAATAATCTTTAGAATACGCAAAATAAAACATGAGATGAAAATATAATATAATATAGTATGTTATACCTGCATAAGTTAAACCAATCAACGAAATTAGACATAACACAATCAAAAAACGCATTTTAACTATAAATTGATTAAAAAAAAATCTGTAAATTAACAATGCGAATCTCAATTTCAATATATTTTTTTTCTTTCGGCGAGTTGTGCTATATTTATATACATTAATTATATTTGTTCAAGTGGATCAGAGATACGCATGTAGACATTGCAAACATTTAACGGATTAATAAATAATAATGGCCTGATCTGCTTGTATTGGATTTATTTTCTGTTGTTGTTAAAAGGTAATTGTCTATACATTACGATGATTTCATTAACTAATGTGATAATGAATGAATATTATGATTACTTATTAAACAATTTACCTCATTTTGTTTTTATTCATTTATTAATATACATCTATCAGATCAGTAATTACATTCTATGAGCTGTTATGCTAAGATGTATAAAACAAAATTAAAGAAGTATAAACTAAAGAAGAATAAATAAAGATAACAACATAAAAATAGTAAATAATATAAATAATAATAGATAATAATAAATAATAGAATAATATAATAATACTATAAAAAAATAAATTAAATTAACTATTATATTTTAATGATTTAGTAAAAAATATAGAAATTGTTTCATTAAACATCCTCAGATTTGACAATATTTTGATGATTCAGTCTCTTCACTCGTAAAATATTGTTTCTTTCAGATTCTATACATTTATCCAATAAATATATTTTTATGTCTCTAAAATAGAAATATTCATCTCATTTAAGTCACAATTTTTTTTAGAGATTTAATTCAAATTGATTAAATTCAATGACAATTTGCCATTTTAACGCATCGACCATCAGATCTTCGAACATATCCTTCTTTGCACTGGCAGACATCCAAAATACATTCCGCCGTACAGATTTTTGGGTGAGGATTTTCGCAACTAGGTTCGCAACTGGATCCACATTTCAGAAACTCTTCATTCACAGGACAACGATTTGATGACTTAAATCCTGAATATTAAAATTACAATTAGTTACAAGGTTGTTTAACTCATATTAACTAGCTGTAATAGCAACTTATCATATGAAAAAACTAGTTGGTATTGGTATTTTGCCTTGAGGCAAGTTACATGAACTTCCCGATATGTGTAAATAATCGACTTAATCAATAAAATATAAATTAATTTATAAGTTATTGAAAGTATTTATCACACATCATAGAAAACGAATGAACACTCTATCGTTATACCAAGTAAATCGTCTAACTTTAATTTTAATAAATGTCAAAAAATTCACTCATTTTTTCAAACTTCGATAAAATTTTAAAATTAAACTACTTGTCGTAAGGCCGTAATATTTCAGTAAGTTCTATAAAACCATGATATATATCGCCAAAAAAGTTCCATAAAAATCGGTTTAAGTTTTTTTTCAACAGTTAATTACAAGAGACCGGCTCGGTAGATTTTCACCTAAAAGTAATCATCAGTATCATTCCCAACTCATATCCTTCAAACAGTTTTCCATTTTTTAAAATCGGTTCGGTAGTATAAGCTTAAATGTGGACGAAAAGTTTAACACTTTTTTCCAAATTATAAAGAAACGGCTTGGCAGATCGTCGCACAAAACTGACACACAATATCTGTTATTAAGATACATCAAATGGCTTTTAAATTTCTGAAATCGGTTCAGGCGTTTTTGAGCAAACGTCGATGAAAGGTCTAATTTTGACAAATGCCAAAAAAACGATAATAGTTTTTGCAAACTTTGAAGAATTTTTAAAATTAAGCGACTTGTCGTAGGGCCGTAATATTTTAGTATTATCTACAAGACTATGGTATCTACCGTCAAAAAAATCATAGAAATCGTCGAAATTTTTTTTTAACACTTTAATACAAGAAAACGATCCGGCCGATCTTAACAAAAAACTTATTAGATCGATTCCCAGACAATATCTTTCGAACGGTTTTTGAATTTTCAAAATCGATTCAGAACTGCGGGCTAAAACGTGGACGAAAAATTTTTCACCTCTCTGCTATTTACAAAGAAACGGCTTGGCTTGAAAATTGATAAATGCTAGTCGTCATCGAGTTACATCAAATGGTTTTTAAATTTTTGAAATCGTCCCAGTCGTTTTTGAGAAAACGTCGATTTACGGCAAAAAATCTGTTCACATACACGCACACACACACATACTTTTTTCAAATTTAGTCTCATTCGATCCAGAATGGCTTGACGTTTCATAAAGAGAAAACATAAAATTAGCGAATCGGATTTTTTTATGAAAACATAAACTTCTCTTTCGGGAAGTTAATTACAGCTCATATTGATGACTAATTATTTTTTGTCGGTCATCAATTTTACATAGATTACCTGATATGAACAGTCTATTTATTACTATTTTTTAATTGTTATATTCTTAATCTTTTGGCGAATTATGTAAAAATCTACTGAATTCCGTTACCATTTTTTCACTCTTTATTAATTTGTCAGTACTAATATTAATAATAATAAATTTATTAGTTTGTGCATGTTTATACCTTTGTACAAGTTTTCTGATTCTGAGAGTGGAATATATACTTTGCCACATCCACACATCTTTGCGACGCATTGAACACTGCATTTGTTTGAAATCTGATGACCTCCCAAAAGTGTCCCTCCAGCTCCGTCAACTGACCCACTTGCTAATCCTTTAAGTGATTTGCTCAATATTGCAACTATAATTTATTACCAAAACTACATTAATATGATATTCATTGAATATTATCACAACTTATATATAAATCTATAATATAAAAATGAATCGCAAAATGTGTTTGTAAGCGCATAACTCAACAACGCCTGGACCAATTTGGCCAATTCTTTATTTAAAATGTTCGTTGAAGTTCAAGGATGGTTCTTACGGCGAGAAAAAATCGAATAATTGCCGGAAAAACCCCAAAAACAGCCCTCTTTATATATTTTTTATATATGGTAGGACGAGGTTCAAAGGTCCTCAGTTGAAAGATCCATCACCAATATCTCAAAAACAAGTAAAGTCACAAAATTTTCAACAATAATATTTAAAAGTAGAGGGCAAAAGATGTGTTACCAGCCATCACCTTGATTCTTACGATGTTGTTATCGGGAGATATAAACGACAATGTTTGAAAATCCATAACGAAAGTATTTTATTTCGTTGTTAATTTTTTTGGTTGTGAGCACTGTTGTTTAGTTTACGAGACTATATTATGAAATTTGAGTATAAGTTATTTAATTGTTTTATAAGATCCATTGTTGTTTTCAAGATTAACCTTTTTTTACATAACCTCTCTAAATGCTTACATGTGAGATGTGGGTGGCTTAAAAATGACCAATTGAACCTGTATCCTGGTAAAGGTGAGAACAATAAAAGATATTAAATAAAAAAAGTAATTTATAGTAAAAAAGTAATTTTACCAGAGATTAATTGAATAAATAGCTATTCCCATTCTGCCGATAAACATTTCTGACAAAATACTAGATCGAGGTTATATACAGTGCTATCTCTGTAAAAAATGTACCCATGGAATTTAAATTATGCATTATAGCTAATATTTCGTAAAAACCCTTTAAAATTAAAATATAAGACTTTGGCAGTCCCATTTTACCCAGCTAATGATGACAAATTTTACAAAAATAATAAAAAAATATGTCTATAATTAAGAATTTTCTGAGAATTTTACTGAACATAGGTTGATAGTTATTTGTTTGATAGGCGTTAGGTGTTGTGATGTAGTTCATTAGATTTAGACAGTATATTTGCTTGTAATCAAATTGGACTTTTGTGCCCCGCCTTACTCTGCACGTATTATATTCAAAGAAATTGAAAACTTATCAATGTGTATTTTTTATATCAATATTTTTATATCTATTTTTAGTATATATTGAAATTTATTTCATCTATAAAATCAATTTGTTCAGAATTATTTTTTATCTTATTATAAATTACACTTACTTTTACCAACACTGCACACAGTGCAAATGATGCACATAAAAAACAAGACATACATAATTGGACGCATCTTAAACCGTTTAATTATTATTCTAATAAATTACTTTTAATCACCGTTTGAAATAAATTTATCACTGATTTTATAATTATAAGTAGTGTTTTTATATAGCCACACGTCTACTAATTATTCGGATGTGTAATTTGGTAAGAATTTTGAACATGTAAACATGAAATATAGTTTGCGTTAATGGTAATGGTTAAGAAATGTTACGTGCTCAATAAATAGTTTTCTATTTAAATCGTTTAATAGCAGATCTTATACATATCTTACACGAATCCTATGGCAAAAAATCCAGAAAGGTTTAGCGCTGGTCAGTTAGAAATTTGAGGATATCAGTTTGGTTTGTTAATATTTGATTAAGTTTTGAAAACTTATAAGTTTTTTAGTTTGCAAATTGTTAAGTTTACTATTCTTCACCAAATTGACTCATTTTTATTATTTTTTTTTTTAATTATTTATATGGCGTTTAACCAGTTACATCCATACATAATAATAATTATAACTATATTTAACAAATGTATCATAAACCTATTCTTTTAACAAAGACTCATTTTGTTCATCTTGCAACTGTTTATATAAGATATTGTTTCAGTAAGAAAGAACTATTTATATTTCTGTATCTAGAGCTATTTTAAATATATGGAACATTTTATCTAAAAGTATCTAAGTGAGAAATTATCTAAATTGATAATTTAATCAATAACATTTTATCCGGAATTTCGTTAAGCTGCAGTAAGCATTAGGCTCTGTAATCTTGCTGTACAAAGTTCCTGGACAAAGTGATATCGAGCAGTAGCAACAGATATTTTTCTTGAAAATATAGACCATTTTATGTTTTTAAGATAAAATGGCTCTCTCAACATTAATGCAATAATTTAAAATATATCATCATCACTATTAAAAAGGACAACACTGGGCTGCCTTATGCCGATCAACGTCAATAAAACATTTCATCCAAAAGTTTTTTATATAATACTATACAATATGATAAGAATGAAAAAGGTGCTTTCCAAAGATATATTTATTATTTGGCAAACGATTTGGTTTGGAATTGGTAATAATAATGGAAATAAACCAATTGCGATTTCGTAAATTTTTCAAATGTTTAATTATTTAATATATTTTGGTGCTTCCAACACAATAATAGAACTTTTTTTCTCTCTTTTATTATTAATCATCAAAACATAAACAAAATCTATAAATTATTTTAATTATAATAGAAATAATACAAAAATTTCAGAACAAATTTTTGAAAATTGCCTGGGGAGCACCAAAATATGTCCCTAACATAAAAAATGTAACAAAAAAGCATTGCATAAATATAGAAACATGCTGAACAGTCATCCAAATTTACTATCAAACTCCTTACTAATAGAAAACTATCATCGTAGACTGAAGAGAAAATCGCCATTTGATTTTAGTTATCAATTTTCCAGATGAAGATTAAAATTATTTATAAGAAATTAAATAAGAAATTATTTATAAGAAAATAGTTAAGTTTATATTATCATGATTGAAATATTATTAATATTATATATAACGAATGGCAAAACAACTATTGAATTCTTTTTCCAACATATCACTATAATATGTCCTTATGTCCTTAATGCGGCGGATAAATGTATATCAACAAATTTACTGAATGTTCTTCACTGGAATTGTAAATATAGTAGTGAACAAATAAAAACAAATATTTTATTTTTATTTCTCTCAAAATGTTCAAAATTATGTATTATAATTAACAATTAAGACTTATTGTTAGTTGTTAAATGATTTTTTTGTAATATAACATTGATTTAGTAGTTAGTGAGTTTCAGATCTTTGACAATAAGTATCTCAACTAGTCATCATTGTCAATGGTATCTCAATTAGTTGTTTTTTAACAATATCTTTCTTCAACACATTGTCCGTCATATCGTCGCACGTATCCAGGTTTGCATTGACAGACATTTACCAAACATTGCATTGTGCAAACTTGGGGACGAGGATTTGCACAAGTGGGTTCGCAAGCAGTGCCACACTCCTTAAAATCTTCATTGGCAGGACACTGGTTCAGGGTTCCTAAAATTGCAAAATCAGTAGTAAGGTTAAATCATACTGTAATTGTTTAATATATTTTATAAAAAACTACTCGAACTTGATAAATATCTATGATTAATCAATTAGGTAGAGCGGGACACAAAGGTCCAATTTGACTTTAAGTAATAACACTGTCTGAATCTAAACTAAATAGGCTACATCACAACTCACTAAATGTATCAAACAATCAACTATCTAACTATGTTCAGTAAACTTCCCAAGTAATTCCTCAGTAAAGAAATGCGTTTTTATTGCTATTTTTCTAAAATTTGTCTTTCGTCCCTTTTACCTCATACGCGGAGTAAAATAGAATAACCCGGAAACAAACAGAACGAACGTCTTATTTTCAATTTTAAAGGCATTTTTCGAAATAATAGCTACGTTATTCAACAAATGCAAAATATTACACATTACCTTGATCTGGTATTTCGTCAGAAATATTTATTAGCAGATTTGGAATAACCATTTATTAAATTTATTTCTTGTAAATTTGCTTTTAAACTTAATTTGCTTTTCAATTTACTATTGTTTTATTGTTTACGCCCTATCACATGCAAGCCTTTATAGAGGTTATATAAAAAAAACTCTTGAATCTAACTTAAAAATAACAATACATTCATATAACAATCAAATACTTCAAAATTATATGAAGATCTCTTAAGCTAAACAACAGTGCTCATAAACTAACAACAAAAGAAAATACTTTTGTTATGGATTTTCAAATATTAATTTTAAAGTAGAGTCGTAAGAATCAAGGTGATGGCTTGTTATTCATTTATTCCCAATACTTTCAAATATGCAGTTAAAAATTTCTAACCTTTCTAGAAAAATTTCTAACTTTGATTGTTTTTTGAGATGTTTGTGGTGGATCTTCTTACTCGCTATATATATAAATATATATATATATATATATATTGATTGTTTCTTTTCCGAACAGTAAATCCAATAATAAAAAACAATTTGTTTTTTGAAGATGTTTAATACGACGTTTCGGAACTAGGTACGTTCCATCATCAGGTTTATTCTGTAATAATTTATATATCCATATCACTAATATTTTTTTTTTTTGTTAAAAACACTCGATTTTTTTGGAAGATATTTGTAGATGTTACGACTACACAAGACTTAAACACACTGAGTTCAGTGTGTTTAAGTCTTGTGTAGTCGTAACATCTACAAATATCTTCCAAAAAAATCGAGTGTTTTTAACAAAAAAAAAAATATTAGTGATATGGATATATAAATTATTACAGAATAAACCTGATGATGGAACGTACCTAGTTCCGAAACGTCGTATTAAACATCTTCAAAAAACAAATTGTTTTTTATTATTGGATTTACTGTTCGGAAAAGAAACAATCAATATATTGAAAAAATCCAGGACTTATCTATTGAATATATATATATATATATATATTGTCGACAACGTACCTGAATTACAGCATTTAACGCTTAGTCTTGAGAAGAAAACATTTTGGCATGGGACGCAATAGGGCTTCGACTGCACAGTTCGATATCCTGCAAATGATATGAATAACAGAATTTTAGTTAGCAAGAGAAGAATATATAATATCATATTTTAACGTTATACAATCCTGTGAAATTTCAAATACTTCTTTCATTGAAATTAACAAAATTACCTGCTGTAGCGGATACCAATGCTAAAGTAAATAAGAGAACTAAAATTTCAAAACGCATGGTGATATATATTTGAGGTGTCACAATAAATAATATTAGGTTCTAGCTAGGGTTTATACAAAAACCGACATTTCAGAAAACCGGTTTTCGAATTTTAATTTTGCCAGAAAACCGGTTTTAACCGGTTTTCGAATTTTATATGGGAAATAAATTTTTGCTCGAATATTCTGTTAATAACAAAAATTTATCCACAAATTTAGTGCGATTTTAAGCAGTATTTGATTGAAATTATTTATTGTTAAATTTTATGGATAGTAAACAAAATTATTTTAATTTTAATTAGTAAATCAAAAATAGTTATATAATAGTTTATGTGGATTAAATAATTTTGAAAATAATTATCCGTTAATTATGCATTATTTTCACATATAAGAATGTAAATATTTCTATGATAGTGAAAGAAAATTTCGAATTTTCGAAAAAATGAATCAATTTAAAATAAAAAAAATACATTTATTCAATTAAAAAATTAGATACATCCTTGATAATATCAATTTTAGTTTTAAAAACAATTAAGCTAAGCCGCGAGTATTTTCTATTTCCAGTAGTTTCAATTAATTAATTTTCAAAATTCTAATTATTTTTTTGTTTGAAAAAAATTGTGATTTTAAAAATATTTAAATATCTTCGATTTCCTTTACTAGTCCATTCATCTATAGTTGTAGAAAATTTTTGTCTTTTATTTTTCATACAGTTTATTTCATTTATAGTTTCATGTTTTATAGATTCGTAAAAGTTGTAAATAAGTTCCATAACCCTAGAATTATTCTGTGGTAAGCAATAATTCCGTTTTTGTAATGACTCTCTTATAAATGAGCTTTTTGTTATGCAATTAATTGATAGTCCATCTAATGCAGCGAGCTTTGACACTATTTCTTCTAAACAAGTTTTTTTCACAAAATTAAAAATACGTGGTTGTGTACATGTTTGTAAAGTCGAGCCGGCATCCGACAATTTTTTTCTTTTTTTTTATCGTGTACTGTTTTCAAATGATTATGTAAATTGTGCTTGATCCTTTGCAAGAAAGCATTTTATTGCAATAAATACAACGCGTTTTTTCTTTGTCTACTTTTTTAAAATAATTCTACACGTCTGACATTTTAGACTACAAAAATATAAATAGTTTAAATAATAATATATATTTTCATAATAATAAAATATGTTAACTACTTACATTTTTTATTTTATCTATATCAAATATCGATCAATGGCACTGAACACTGAATACTGAACTTATAAACTACACATAAAGAAACAAGAAGTCCATTGATCGGAAATAATATAAACACTCGTATAAACATTAGAATTAATATATACATTAGACAAAAGATAAAACACAAAACCTTTCTGGGAACCATAGCAGACTGATAAGATTCCAAACGCTATTGAACCAATATGATTCCAAGAATCAAAACGCTGCATCGCATTTTATATTAGGCTATATTTGTCATTTTCCATTTATACAGTAAAAACTTTTTTTACAAAAAAACCGGTTTTCGAATTTCATAAATTTCGTCAAAAAACCGGTTTTTAAAACCGGTTTTTGAAAACCGACAAACCCTAGTTCTAGCCAGTAGCTATATATATGCCGACATCTATACACTTCATTTCAATGGAAAAATACAGAAAATTGATCACGTTTATCGGACAAAGAATTTTTTTAAATTATCATGTTTTATATTTTTCGAAGTCTAAACAATCATATCTCCGTCAAATCATTTAAAATATAGTTCAGAAGCACGTATCACTATTTTTAAACATACTTGTGAAATGTATTAATTTTTTTATTTTTTCTATTAATTAAAATCTGTCTTTATAGAAAAAAGGACATTCAGTAATTTTGGGGATACATGGATAATTAACATCTATTCTAAAAGGTTGCTTAATAGAAAGCCTTTTAAACATTGATAAATAAATTAAATTGAATCGCTGTCATATGAAGTGATATTAAGACTTAATAATTATAATTAATAAAACAATAATAATATTCATAATAAAATGAATAAATTTACATAAAAAATAAATATAAAATTAATTATAACAATAATAATTCAGGCCAGAGTGTTTGAATGATTTTCAACTCTTTTCTTTTATTTTAAATCCATTGAAATGTTTTAATTGTTAAATTTTATTTTATAATTTTAACATTGATATAGTTTTATAAGTTTTATCTTGAATAAAGTAAATTTGGTATATTATGAAAATTTTTCATAGAATGTAAAACTGTCTTTTTAAGGTTTAAATTGATTTAGATCAGTTTTGAAGAAAAGCTAGCATTTTATACCTGCAAAATCATATTGATTAAATAATTTTATTATTTCTGAATATTCATCGCCCAAAAATACATATTGATCTTAGAAGCATTTATTAAGACGAAATGGCAATGGTTATAAAAATTTTCTAAATTTCTAAAAATAGAGAAATATGTTTTAAAAATTTATTACAATATGGTGTTGATCATCCTTATGGTAGCAGTGCATATTTTTTTGTTTCTAGCGATAAAGTCCATGCTTTAATTTCACTTTGATTTTTTTTTTCATTTTCTGGTGATCTATTCATTCAATTTACCTTAGAATTTAAATTGCTACTTGAATAATTATATCCAATACACTGATCCCAACATTCCTGTGTTTGTGTTTGGCAAAATTCACTTCTCAGGAGTTAAAAAAGAAATGTCCACTAGAGACGTTACCAAGTGCTAAAAGTTATCAAAGCAGTCAAAAATCAAAAACTAATATTGATAAATTGTGTCAGAAAACTCATTTCTACTCCACAGAAAAACAATTTAACTGCGTTACTAAAGTTTTTTTTTTATTTTCATCAAAAGCTGATATTTCTTTCAAGTACCAAGTTATCAAAATTGCCAATAAAATAAAAAATAAAAAATAAACAATTTTGAGACAATTTTATTTCCAGAAATTATTTAGTATATCAAAATCATATTTTTTTCAAATTTCATTTGGTTGAATTTTATTCAAGAAATATTTGTTTGTGCTACGGTGTTTATTATAATATAAAACAATACAAGAGTCAATTGATTTAATAATTTTTTGGGATTCTAAAAGCTAAGTTGAATGAAGTCACTATACTTATATACACCATACTAAATCTCAAAATAAATATAATTTCCATGTTACTTTTAAAAAATTCGTTTATTACCTTTTTTTTGAACACGACATTATATTTTAATATACAATTTTAAAGATACAAAGTTCATTATTTTTTCACTCTAATTTTTGAAATATATACATTTTTTTACATTTTATCATATATCTTGTTAATTAACAAGGAGAACTGCAATCGCATTCCTCAACGCAAGCGCCATCCCAGCGACGAAGGTATCCTGGCTTGCATTGGCACACGTCAGCTTTACACATCATGATGCAGGCACCAGGATTAGGAATCTCGCAAGATGGTTCGCACATGGTTCCGCATTCTTGGAACTCTTCATTTTTAGGACATTCTTGAGGACAACCTGAAAAAAATAATTGTTATGAATAAAAAGCAAACTGTAATAGATTGTTTTGAAAATATAAAAATAGTTATGTTAGAATTAGAATTACACTGAAGACCCACGGAGCTTGGACAGCATTTTTACTTCCGTAATAATTGAGGCTTTATAGCAAAAAAAAAATTGAAGAAAGATTTCAACAAAAAAGCGGACAGCTACTCATTGTTCTCTGCTCACTTGATTTCATGTGACAAACCGGCTTTGTGTTCACTATGAAATTGTGCAAAAAAAAATAAAAAAAAAGTTATTCGTTTCCTAACATTTCAATTAGAAACCATCAAATCAATCACGTGTATTGTGCAAATTTTTATTCAATTTCAACAGAAGGCAATTTTTTTCTTCATCTTTTAATCACCAAACGAAATGCTGCATAAAATGAAACCATCTGATGGTGAAACGGAGTTCGCCCGATTTGCTAGTTATTCTCTCAAACTTAATTAAAAATGATTGCATTGACAGATACTGTCAAAAAATAGTATTGCTACCTAATAAAAAAATACTAAAAATGTTTATAGTTTCAGTATAATCTCAATATTTTAGTATGATTTTACATCAATTTAATGAAAAATAAATGTCACAAAATCTTTAAAGTTTATACATTTCGTTATAATTGTTTATAGATTATTACATTAAATTTAAAGATGTTTTTAGTATAAATCTGAAGTAATATTTACCTGCAAAAGTCACTGCTATCAAAGCTACAAAACACACTAAAATGGCGCAACGCATTGCAATTTTCTTTATTAACTGAGATTTCTGAAAACCTTCTCAAGTGTTATTTTCTATAATTTCTCAGTATATATACTCTAATTATGTTTGTAGTTTTTAAATATAGACATCATCATATTTATTCAAGTGCTGTAGTACGCAAATTGATCGTGTTAATAGAAAGAAGTTCTTCTGTATTAATTAAATAAAATCCATTTCCTAAGTCAACAAAATACATTGAACGACATATATCGTAAACGTAAATAGTTAGTTGTTTGTTAGATGAAGATGTTTAAAACGTGTTCAATTGATACATTATAATCACTAAATAACAATATCCCTAGTAAGAATGTCAGTAGTTTTGTTTATATAATTTAGAATAGCAAAGAGCGGGGCTTAAAGTTCCGCGTATAGAAGCATAAAACACTAATATCTCAAAGAAAATTTGAGAATTATTTAACAATAATATTTGAAAAAAATAAACATCAATGATTGAAAATCTGTAGCAGTAGTATTTTCTTTGGTTGATAGTTTCTTTTTAGTTGTGAGTACTGTTGTTTAGTTTCGGAGACCTTAATACAATATTTTAATATACCTCATTTAATTAGTTTTAAGATGCACTGGTAATTTCAAGTTAAAACTAACAGCTGTTTATATATAACATCTATAATAGCTTACATATGTGGATTGAGTAATATAATCGATTGAACCTTTTCTCTAGCAAAGGCGTGAACAATGTATAGTACATAAAATGTAAATTCAGTTAAAAATTACAATTATA